GATCTATAGGCTTGCTTGATTTTTTTTTTTCAAATATTTTTTCAGTGACCCTTCTGTTAGCTTGGGACATAAAGAGGAAGCACCGAGTTGTTAACAACACATCCACAAAATCAAACTAGCTGTTACTCCCACCACAAAATGAGCAAAGATCATTAAAGGAAGTCGAGACCACAAGAGTTCCTATAGAGGTACTGGACCATCCTCACCACCTGAGGGAGGTAAGTTGAGGCCAAAAGCCTGTCTCTTTGATCAACAGGGGAGTCATTCTTGTATAGTAGTATGAAGGGCTTCTACATGAATTGTTTTACTTGCTTTTCAAGACAGCTGTGTGATAAACCCATAGGTGAAGTATTGACAAGTTCAAGTCAAGCGAACTGAGACACATAGATAGAAAGGTGACTGAATTTGAGGCAGGCTTAAGAACCACTCTTCTTTCCATTACACTATGTTATATCTCATCTTTCTGTTCCAAGGTGACAGCCATACTAACTACACAATCTGAAAACATGATGGAGTGGGACCCTTAGTAGCCTTCTTTTAGGGTAGTTTGTGAGAATTAAACTAAGTCAACATGTGAAAAGTACTTAGACTAATGCCTGACAGTTGTATAGCTATATGTGTATACTAAAATGTATATGTACACTTGCATATATATACTATATACACACATATTTATCTGTGTGTGTGTATATATATATGTGTATATATATATGTCATGTGTGCAAACACAAACATATATTTCCCATTGTATACACATACACACACAACTTGAAAAAGGATACCTGAATGATAATTAGCTTAACCAGGACAGCTGTCCAAGTAGGACACTTTATCAGACCTCTAACCCTAGAGATTAAAACTGAATTTTTAAAAGAACTTTTTCTTCAGTTTCTTTACCCATTAGTCTTGGGGAATAGATGTATTTCTAAAGTTTGAAGTCCCGATTTAATGCAAGAAAAACAAAAGTTGCCTTAGGAATACACTTTGTGAAGCAGAGAGGCAAAGAGCATCCCTTCTGCCTGCCCAGCCGGGTTACAAAGCCAGAAGGCATTCAGGCCTACCAATCTAAGTAGATGTTTCTGCAGCAGCATTCAGGCCTCATGACCTGCCTGCCAACCAAAATGCACTTAAAGAGGAAAAGGAGGTAGCCCAGCTTTTTAGTCCATTCCCAGTTCAGCGGCTGGGTAGTCTAAATTTTCTACACCCCTTGGATGTATTTTTGCACCTTCAGGGGAAGACACTGATATGTCCAAGCAAGGCTGAAAGTATATCAGTTCAAAAGCCAGGCCTGCTGTTTTCTCTTCTAGGGGGAACTGTTCAAGAGGTGGCTGTGTGTGTGTGTGTGTGTGTTTGTTGGGGGGACTGGCACCTGCCCATCTCTTTGAATCCATGGTTGGATGACGGGTAGTCGTCCTTGCCCAGTAAATTGGCTGTGCAGTCTCCGGGTGGGCTGGTGCCACCACCATAGGAGTCAGTTGTTTGGATGGCTAAGAATTGTCAAGCGGGGTTCCTCATAAAACTGCAGGAATGTTCTCAAATCTCCTCAAGTGCTAAGAGATGGAAAGGAGCATGAAGGTGAACAGGGATTGAAGAAAAGGAAGACAGGAGATAACCACAGAATGAGCCAAACTGACTCCAGAACATGGAATTGGGTAAAAAAGAGAAAAAGGAAAGAAAATCTGAAACGTCTGGGGAATCTTTGCTGGCAGTGCTTGCCCCTCGCAGTCTGTCCGCGATGATGCTCCTACGCGCTGCGTCTCCGCTCAGGCCTAGCGCAAAGGGCTGCGGCGGGAAGGGGCGCCAGTGCCTCCCCAAGCGTACCTGCCCTTGACCCTTGCAAGACCAAGGGCAGACTCCTGCACGTGAGCTGGAAGCACGCTCCCTGCGGGTGGAAGGGAGTCAGGGCCAAGAGCGGGTACAGAAAGAGACTCAGGAGGCTCGACCCTCGGGAACAGGAGAGGGTGGGGCGCACTTGCTGGACGGTTTTCTGGGTTTATCTGGGACCGCGATATCCACTATCAGTGGGCAAGGCGCTTAAGGAGATAACTGAGGGTGGAGAAACGTAACAGGGGAGGAAATCCGGCAGTGTACCGAAGTTCAGAAACAGTGAGTAGGAGGGAGGAAATACGAAACCTCCACTGGACACCTGTTCTCACGCTGCACTCAGCGACGCCCAACGGCAGCGGCTGCACATATGTGCTTGCAACTGGCGCGCATGTGGCTGCAACTAAATTTTGCAGGGCTCTGGGGCTGTGGAGCTGGAGAACCTAGGAGTGGGCCCGAGACCTTGGGAACTTCCACAGGTAATTCAGTCTTGGGTTTCCAGCGCCCGCCGGCTAGTGCAGAGATGTGCGGGCGTCCCTTCCCGAGCCCTGGGTTTCTGCACGCGTTTGGTTGTTAAGCTATACCCTGCAGGCACCGCCTGGGAAATGCAGGCGTCCCGCACCCTCCTCCTACCCAAACGTAAATGAGGAGAGGGATTTGTAATCCTCTCAGAGAGCAGGCGAGGAAATATCAAGCGCTAGATGCCAGGTCAATCCCAGGCATTCTACCCCTGACCGGGACCCAACAATTGCCGGGTTTTCTTATCCTCAGACTTTAGGATCAGCGGTCTCAGCACTTGGAGTTTAGGCCACCTGCCTGGACTTCATTGGACCAGCGCAGCTCCAAGTCTGCGTGACCCTGTGACCTTGTTTCCTCCGCAGCCATGTGCAGACAGACATGTATGCCCATGACTTGAGACAGACACCTCAGCTAGCTCGGCAGGTACGCGGACTTAGAGACTCCTAGAAACTCTCATCTGAAGAACTTGAGACGCCGGGAGTTTAAGATACAACCGAAAGCTTGAAAATGAAGCATAACATAAAAACATTTCTCAGTTTGTCTTGGCTGAGAAGAACTCTGGGCACCTTTCCCCTGCAACTGCTGCCTAAAACGGTCTTGTGGGAAGATTCATCAGCTTAGTTACCTAGCCCTGAAGTGTCTGCCACAAACACACCTACTGGATCACCTGGACAGCAGCTCAGCCAAAGCTTGGCTTTCTTCCTGATTCTGTGATTAAGTTAATGACCTTCCAAAAGAAAACATAGGGGAAGAGTACACGTCTACATGTATCCTTCAAAAAATATGATTTCAGACTATGAGGAAGTCCTTTTCAAAAAGCAGTGTTTGTTTACCTTTTCCTAGACCTAAATTAATCTCTGAATCCCCAACAGGTGATGAAGCCACCGCAGTTGAAAAGGAGATTCTGGAGGGCTCAGACAGGAATGAAGGAGCACTCACGACTTTTTTTTTTTTTTTTGAAAGTTAGGCCCCAGGAAAACCGGGTTTGTTTGTTTTTAAGAACATTTTGCTCTGCTGGTCCATTGGTGTCCCAGGCATGGCAATTTGGTTTGGCCTCTCAGGAACTCTGGTTTAAAGATCTTTTGAGGCCCATCTTCCATTTGCCTCCAAATATCTAACTCATTTCATGCCATCAAATTTGTTTCACAACCAATCTTGGTCTTTTCTATCTTGACCTTTTCTCTAGAAAGCCCCCTTTAGATTTCATTGCAGCCTGATTAACTCAACACACAAAAAAACAATCCTCCGGTATTAGAAGTACTTAAAAGATATGGGAACCAGCCTTGTTCATTGTACAGATGCAAAAATCAAGATGCACGTCAATCAAATGATGCAAGTAATGATGCAGCGTCATATTGGTCATGAATAGCAGAGTTAGAATGGGAATTTTGGACTGTTCTCATCACACTTTGCTGGGGATTAGTATTGCAGATCATCCAACTGCTGCCTAGGAAAATTGAGTACAGGCTTCAAAGAAATGTAGGACAAAAAAGTTCTTAGGTGATCTTAAAATCAATCTGCCTTTTCACCAACCTGCGTCACACTATGGATACATCTCTCTGTCCTACCCATGGTCTTTACCTGCTCCCTGTTCCCAATTATATCTTGTTCCATAGATACCTTAAGATAAAGCTTTATAATCCTTTTATGAAAGGCCTGCAATTTTATCGAAAACCTGCATTGATACCTTGTATAAGTTTCCCAAGTCAGGTATTTTCACAGGTGTCCTTCTAACATGGGGGTGGGGGGAGAGGGTTGGCAAGATGTGAAGGAAGGAGCAAACAATGAGAAAGAATGCCTCCTGTGATAACCAGTGTAGTGTTTGTTACTAGAGCATTCATAGAGATACTTTGAAGATGCCCATGGATTAAGTGCATGCTACTGAGGCCTAAAATATCATCGTTTCTTGGTTTTGTAACTGATGGTTGCTGGACATAACACATATGCCCACATGTGTGCATTTAATTTAACTAAGAATTGTTGTCAGTTATATGAAGACTACAGAGGGAATTTTTCGTAAGAGGAGAATCAGGTAGAGGAGGAAAGTTGCCAGGTTCTTCTGTGTGGTAATGCTCCAGGACTAGTTTTTTCCAGAGTTTATGCAGCTGCCCAACGTTTAGAAGGAAAGCTGGGCCCTACAATACATAGTACCCTGGTCATTTCTCCTCAGTTTCTACAGAAACCCCTGGTTTCTTAATGGGTAATTATAGAATGCTGCAGGGTTCTAGAGCAGAATACTTTTCTATGTCGACATCACAAGTAGAACTGAAATGGGCTTTTTATCTGGTTTCCCTGATCCAGGCCTTGAAGTTGTTTGTCTCTGGCCACTTTTGCAGATGCTAATTACTGTGCTGCTAAAAAGAATGCTGATATTCCAGTGATAGGTTCACTTAATGGCAGACATCTTTGTCTAAATGATTTGTCTTTTGATCAGGAAGCGCCACACTTTCCAGCTAAAGATTTTCCAAATAATAATCAAACCTTGGCTTCTTACTTCTAGACTCAAAATTGGCTTAAATAAATGCAAATGGAGCAGGATTTATCATCCCTCTTTTCCGCAATCTCTTCTTTTCAGGGACTTAATGAAAATAGAATCTACTCAAAATGTAGCCCTTAGCAACAAATTTTTTTTTAACACTTTCCAAATAATAGCTTCGAAGAAAATAGTCATTTATTGTCAAAGCATCCAACATACCTGGATAATCTATAAAGGTTAATAAATCTTTCCAGGGGTAAAAGAAACACATAACTATTCAGACTCCATTTCACTGGCACAAAATTACACTTTGTATTAAAAGGAAATACATATTTACATAATGATGACATTCTTCATTGAAGTCCATAATCATTTCATAATGCATGCACTTACCCCTGGAAACTTAAATTGGTGACCCCCTTTTTATTTGTTTTGTTCATTTTTGTAAGAACACAACCTGTCATCAAGAAATGCAGAAAGCATGTCAGCCTCCTCCTTTACTTTATATCTAAAATAAATTTTGTCCTTACATTATAATTATTACATCTAAACTGTAAGTGCTTAATAATTTAAGTAGAAACATGACAAATGCATCAATATGTTGCAATATATGACATTTTAAAAAATGTACCTTTGTTTTGGGAAAGTGAAAATGCGTGCACTCAAAAGAAAACTCCTCAAACCCACCCAATCAAAAATCCACCACCCTGTCTCGTGTGTGTGTGTGTGTGTGTGTGTGTGTGTGAGAGAGTAGGTCACATTCGATGAAAAGGCTGTGGGCGGGGTGGAGGGGAGTTGCGGTTTGTGTTTCTATCTGTCTCTCTGGGGCAGTGTTTCGGGTCACAGGTAGATGGTAGATGACCTCGCGGGTTTGTTCCTGCAGGTGGCTTGGCTGTGCGTGTGCGCTCATGAAAAGTTGGAGTCCTTGTCAATTATGCGAGGTCATGTGCCTGGAAAGGTGGTGGCGCTCCCTGAAGGACTCGTTGCAAATGGGGCACTTGAGTTTCTCCTCCCGCCGCCTCTTCACGAGGGGCTCCATGGCGTACTCCTTTTTGTGATGCGACCTCATGTGGTACACCAGGTCGGAGGTCATGCGGAAGGAGGCATTGCACTTGGCGCACCAGTTCTGCGCGGGCAGACACAGCGAGGTGAAGGAGGGCGGCAGTAGCGTGAGCGCCGAGGGCAGCTGCAGTTGTAGGGGCCCCGCGGCCGCGGCCGCCGCGGCCGCCGCGGCTGCGGAGCTCTTAGGCCAGAAGGCCGTGGCGTAGAGGAAGGGGTTCTGTTTGGGCAGGCCGCCGCCGCCGCCGCTCGGCAGGGCCCCGCAACCTCCGTTCAGGTCCGCCGCCCCCTGCAGCTTCACGGCCAGAGGGTCGGCGGCAGCGGCGTAGAGTCTGGTGGGGCCCACTGCGTCGCCGGGGTGGCACTGCTCGAGCGCGCTCAGCTTCTGGCCCAGCACCAGCGGGGACAGCTGCGAGAAGGAGCGCGCCGGCTGCGAGAAGGCGCTTTTGCGCTCGTCCGACGCGGCTCCCTGGCCGCCGGCCGCACCGCCAGCGACCCCGGCGCTCGCACTGACCCCCGCGCCGGCGCCCCCCGCGCCGCCCAGCTGCGGCACCGAGGTGAAGGCGCTGCCCCGCGCCGGGCTGCCGCTCTCCAGCCGGCTGGGCAGCGGACCCCCAGGCCGCGGGCCCAGCACCTTCTCCGAGCCTGCGGGCGATGCGGCCACGGGCGTGCAGGAACCGCCGCCGCCGGAGTCCTGGTCCTCGGCAGAGGCGCCCCCGCCGTCGGCGGCTGCCTCCTCCTGCAGCCCTGGCCCTCGGGCAGCCTTCTTCACCTCCACGAAGGCGCTGCGCTTCGCCTCGCCCGTCTCGGGGCTGGGCGGCGCGAAGAGGCGGCCGTTCTCCTCCAGGCTGAAATAGCTGCCCGAGGCGCGGTACTGCTGCGGCGTGCACACCAAGTCCTCCTTGGAGGCGGGCAGGGGCCGCTCGGGGAAGCGGCCCCGGCCCCCGACCAGCCCCGCGCCGCCGCCGCCGCCCACCGCCGCCGCCGCCTCCTCCTCCGAGAATTTCCTCTTGGCTTTGCCGCAGCCGGTGGCGTTGCCGTCGGGACTCAGCTCCGCCTCCTGGTGGCCGCCGGCGCTGCTGCCGCTGCTGAGGCTCTGAACTGGGGAGCGGCTGCTGCCTCCCCCGGAATTTTCCAGCTCGCGGGCCAGGTTATGAAAATCCGTGGAGGGCTTCGCGCTGCCGCCGCCGCCAGCCGCGGGTAGGTTAATGCCCTCGGGGGAGGAGGCCGGGTAGTGATGGAGAGGGCCAGCTTTGCAGAACTTGGGGCCGGGACCCAAGGGTGCCTCCTGTTGCTGCTGGTCCTTGCCACCGCCGCCTCCCCCGTGATCCTTGGTGCCCACGCCGCCGCCTTGCTCGTCTTGAGGGCTCATGTCGGCGCTGTGAAGTCTCTTGGGGCAGCGGAAGCGCAGATGCGCCACATAAGGGAACTCAAACTGGAAACGTTGGCTGCATTCCAGGCATGTGTAAGGGGACGACCCTGCTTAGTGAGAAAACACCACACACACGCACACCATATGATTACTCAGCGTCGTCTCGGGGCCAGCTTGCCATCATCCCCTTTACAAATCCGCCTTCATCTCTCAGGAGCTGAATGCCTGAGAAAGAATATCCTGTCTGGCCCAACCTCACTTTCCCTCCTGGTTTGGGGGAGTGCAGTAACTGAGCCAAGGATTCCCCAATTTATCCTCATCTGTCCCACTTTCATTTCGGACAATCTCTTAGGAGTTTCCGGTGAGAAGCCCAATGGGAGGAAAGGCGCGCCCACAGTGAGCGCCCGGAAGCTCCCTGCGTCTCTCCCTGGCTAACTAAGGGCCCATTCGCAGGTCCCGAGCCAACCTACCATTCATTTTGCTGTGGGATCTAGAGGGGCAGAGCAAGAGTAAGTCAGTCAGTTCTTTCCCGTACCAAACTAGTAACTCCTCGTCTTTGGCAATCCTGCGGAGAGAGCGGTAAAACAGCTGTCCGTTTTTTATATAGGCTTCAAGGTTCTGCTCTTCTTTATCTCTGGCTGATTGGACAAGACGCAGCCACATGAGACCTTCTGAGGAACCATTTGCCGCTGAGGTGTCTACCTACAGTTTAGAAAAAGAAAGAATTCAAGAAGATAGAAAGTGGAAGAGGGAAACTTGTGAGAGAATGAAACCAGAGGAACCAGGACCAAAGAATTATCTGAAATCACACTTCCAAAACCTGATCCAAGTTAGCACCCATTCTGGTGTTTGTAACCAGCAGGCAAGATAACCATCCTTTGAAAAACTGCATCAATCACATAGTTTAAGTAGTTGTTTTATATTTTGGTTGAATATCAGATTTCTTCTTACAATTCAAACTAGTATTAATCACTTGAAAATTTACCTCTGAATCATCCCACATTACAAAAGTGTGGGGACTTCTGTTTGTTTTCGAAGTAAAAAGAAAGCTTAGATCTAAGAAATTGTTCTATAGCATTGACTCATCTTCCTAATTTTGACTTAAACAATAATAGTTTTTCTTTGTAAAGAAACACTAGGAAGCGAGGGAACTTTATCTTCCAACTCAAACATATGGAATAATGATGTTTTATTGTCAAACCATGAACCTCTTTAAGTGTAAACTCTGGGCACTATCTGGCATTATTGGAAAAAGTAACATTTAGGGCAAGAGGAGGCCTCCTAGGGTGGAAGGCAAATGCATCCAATACTTAAAAGTACTTACAGAAAGTACTTAGTATGCAGATAGCCTCATCCCTCTTGAAATCTCCCCAAGAATTAAGTAAGTTATGTTCAGCACCAGGAAAGCCCAGAACTGAGGCACTGATTTAGATCTGACATTCCAGATGAAATTTCGTCTTCTTTTCCAGAAAATCAGTTGAGAATAAGTTGAGTTCAATTTTCCTTTTCTAATTTTTGGTGTGTAAAATAGGATATCTCATGTTATTGCATTTTCTACATTCAAAACTTATCTCATCTTGTCATTAGAATGATTTCGTAGTCCATTTCCAACAGGACATTATCCTCATACCCTACAGAGCATCGGCAAGGACTTACCCGGAAGATATAAGGGACTGTTCTCTTGTCGGTGGACTTGAGAGCTATGAAAGCTATGCTGTCATACAGGGAAGTATGGCTCAGGATGCAGGGACCGAATATAGCATTCTCAGGGATGTCGCAGGTGGTGTAAACGCTGGTAAAAATATCTGTCAAACATTGTTGGACAGCCTTGGCATCTCCATCCCAGATGCCTCGCTGGATGCCCGATTCCTCCATCACTGGAGACAGATATACAGGACAACAAAGCGAGTTACATTATTCCTTTTGCCTCTGTGAATCCAGGCAGAATATTTCAACTCTAGACAGAATTTTTGTGAATTTGCCTGACTTTTGCATAGCTCTTGAGAAATAAACCAGTAGCAGATTAAATCTGGTAAAATTTGAAGATGCCAATGTAAGGAGTACTTTCCTTTTCTCTTTTTTTTTTCTTTTTAATAATTGGAATAGTGGAAGCTCAGAGTGTACTCCCTGCTTGGGAGAAAGAAAACAAGGCAGATCGTTTTTGCATTACCTAGCGAGAGGATGGGATAAGATTGGGGGGAATGTGGGGAGAACAATAGGATTTTTTACTAGACTATAGACTTCCCTGACTGAAAGAAACTTCTAACCCTTGTTGGGAGACAGCACCTAGCCTCTCCTCTCAAGTATTGAACTGGGTGCTTGGGAGCTGATTTTTTTTTTCTTTCAAAGAGGGGAGCAGCATTCGCAAGCAGGCAGAGACAGCCAAGCATGGCGAATGGATTTCAAGTAGAGTGTCAGGGCCACTGATTCCCTGTCAGCTAACCTTTCTCTGCAGCCTACAAGAGGGGACGTATGTCTGCTCATTACCATAATCCAACACTGTAACTCCGAGGCTTTAATTAAAAGCAGCAAGCGGAGGTAATTATTATTTTTTTGACATGCTTATTTATGGATGAGGGTGAATCCCAGTTACCTTGTTATACAAGGGGTGAATTGAGCCACATGTGCCTCATGAAGTGAGCAGGTACAGGGCAGGCCTGAATTGTTCCCATCTGAAATACCACGTGTGTAATGACTGGTGAATTCTCGCTTCCCCAGATACGACCCTGTCTGGGCTACAGGGGGCAGTCCACTTGAGTAGACCTGGGTGGGCTCTCCAGCTGTTTAATCCCCAGCGATTTAGAAAGTAATACCCCAATAGAGGTTCCTCTATTAAGCTGTCAGAAAGAGACATTTTCCTTCTTTTGCCACTGGACACCCCCTAGAAGACTTACCATTTTTAAAAAAACCCAGATATTTAAATTTAAACTGGCTTTGAGCTAACTGCATTGTTCACTCTGATTAAAAGATACCCCCAAGTTGGTTTTTCCCTAATAACTTCACCAGATGTAGTGATGTATGTTTGTTTTGTATAATTTAAGTAGCAGGAAAGAGTAGATGGAATTCTTTTCCTGAGAATATTATGGAATATTAATAATGTCCATTTTTTATTACTATTAACCAACAAGGTACTGCTTTTTTTCTTTCCAGCTAACAGAGGATGAAACTTTGGTTTTTCCATTCACTCTGCTACATCCTCCGAATGTCAAGTATTGGGCTGTATCTGCCAGACAGAAATAAGAGAAAATATCCATAAAGTGGAAACTTACTTTATTATGCCACAGCATCTGTCCCTGGTCATTTTTACCCCTCACATGGTAGCTTTTCTGATGTCCGATTGCAATTTAAATACATTTTTTTAAAACCCTCAGAACTCTCATCTTTTTTTCCAACGGAATTCTCTTCTCCCCTTTTCAATTTCCTCAATTCAGCGATTTATGTCCCAATTTCTCTTTTCCTTTTAAGCCTTTCACACAAGCGTTTCATTGTGCCGGGAGGTCACCCCGTCACTTCGGGCAACAGCAGGGACACAATCATTAAAATGCGGTTCTACCTAACAAAACGGCGAAAAGCCCCTCGCTCCGCCGCGTTAATGGGGGTCCGCGTCGCGGCGGCGGCGGCGGCCACGAGCCTGGAGCTGGCCACGGTAACCTCTGGGCGAGAGCCTGGGCTTGCTGTCCGCGCACGGTCGCCTTTGCTACCAACCTTCCACAGCTCTGCATCCTCCTCTAGGCCCCGGGTTCTCCTCCGTCCCAGGACTCCTCCCCAGAGCTAGCAGGGCTCGCCGAAAGCCCGTGGCGCCGCCGGCCGCTCGCCCTCCAGTAGGCAGGCATTGTCTGGCGGCCGCCGCTCCCCACTCCTTGCTTCTCCAGCAAAGTGCTCCCCACCCGCTCCTCCCTTTGTATAATGTTACTTGCAGTAGAGATCCCCTCAACAATTACCCCCTCCCCCTTCTGGATATTGAGGGGACGGAGGACAAAATTTTCCACTTTCCCTACCAAACCTGCCTCCTTCCCATCCCCCTCCAACCTCAATGCAAATAGACTTACCAGGAATAAGGTCAGGACCAAATCGCCCAAATAAGGCCACCTGGAACTAGGAGATACGATGGAGTGTTCTTTTGCTTATTGTATCAGTGCATTTCCATGTCAAGAGGTGTTTGTATTTCCGTCTTGTAGATTCTGCCTAAAGAGAGGAGAGATAGATATGAAGAGATGGGGAGAGTAAGAGAGAGAGAGAGAGCGAGCGAGCAGAGTTGTACAGATGGACCCGATGCAGTGACTGACTGGCACGCAGACACACACTTTTTGTTTGCTGCACATAATCTGCCCAATGACGCGTGACAGCCCACGTCCCCTCCCTTTAACTCTTTGCTGGGCTGGGCGCTCCCTCCGGCGCCGCCTGCCTCGCAGCCGTCTCTCCGGCCTGCCGGCGCCCTGCAGGTCCTGAGCGCCTTCCCCAAGTGGCAACGCCTGTCTGAGTGCGCCCTGGCTGCCTCTTCCTAAAGCTTCGGGCCTCTGGGAATGTCAGGAGGGGAGAAATCAGCTTCGGGGGCGAAAGGGGGAGTACCAACAGACTAGAGAGAGCCTTTTCCCATTTCTCTGGGCACCGGGAGGACCTCTGGCAGAGACCTGGCCACCCAGCGCGCGCACGGACCCCGCGCGCAGTCCCCGAGACCGAGTTCTGTGAACCCGAGGAGGGTTGCAAATTAGCCCCGAGGGATTCTCCGGCCGCGCAGCTAGCTGCCGCTGATTTGCACCGCTCGTTGCCTGGCGGGGGGTCCGAGGTGTGGGAGGATAAACCAACACCATCTCTCTCCTGGAGTGCTCTCACTACCAAGCCCTTCCGACTAAGATTCAGAAAGGATGAGCTTTGGTGAGAACTTGGCTCCGTCTTCCCCTGAACGCTGACATGGGGTAAGGAGGATGGAGTTGGGGACGCCGCCAGACCTCGCACGGGGATGTACAGGATCTCCCGGTCCCAGGACACAAGTACCTGAGCGGGGGAATGGGTGACGGGGAGATGGATGGGGGGAGCCCAGGTTACTGGATTCGAGCTGCTCCTGCTCTTCTCCCCTCTGCCTCTGCCCGGAGCGTTCTGCTAAGTCCCCGAGGGGATTCCATGTTGGGGGCGGCCTGTATTCTAGGACCTCGGGGTGGAGTTGGGGATGGGTGAGTCAAAGTAAAAATTATTACAGAGATGGGCTCCATGAGGGCTTTTCACGTCCAGCGGAAGAGTGGAAGCAGTTGCCGCCGTCGTCTCGGGAGCCTCGTTTGTGCGCTAAGCCACTTAGAGGCGCTGGCCTGCCCCTTTAGTGCAGCAGCTGATGCTAATGGCTTGAGGACTTTAACAGGCTGAAAGTTGTCTCGTTCAACAGGGGCCGGAAGACATTTTAGCTGGGAGACTTCGGGGTTCTTTTCACCTTTCGACTCTCCTAAGGGAAGAAAGACCTTTGAGTGGTGTAGAAGGTTCCGCTCCCTCAGCCCCACCCACACCACCAATACATTGAAGAGAGCAATCTGTTAGCTTTAGGATAAATCGGACAGTGTAGTCAGCTCAGGTGGATGAAGCAGAAACACGACTTAATGAGGAGTCAGCCTCGTTTTTATCCAGTGTTGAAATGAGGTAAGTGGATTGGGGGACAGCAAACAGCAATTTAAAAGGAAAAGGTGTGGATAATGTCCGTTCGATCCTCTCATAGCTCTGAGACATCCCTCCAAACCCAGCAGGGCAGTGAGTCACTGAGTGTCTTTCCTTGTGGTGCCTGGGATCGGTGCCTGGGATTCAAGGAGGGGGAGGGAAGGATTTTGCTGAGGAGAAACTTAAAATGTCCGAAGAATTTCCCACTAAGTGAGTTCTCTTCTCTTTGGTCTCTCTCTCTCTCTCTCTCTCTCTCTCTCTCTCTCTCTCTCTCTCTCTCTCTCTCTCACACACACACACACACACACACACACACACAAGGGCTTATTTAAAGGAAGGGTAGGAAAATTAGAAATACCACAAGAATTGCCTCAAACAGCTGTAAAATAATCCACAAGGTTGAAGACAATGTAGTGGCCAGACATTTAAGTAGATTCAGACAAGAAAAGGAAAAAGGGCTGAAGAGGCACAAGGGTAAACAACAGCAAGTTAAGATAAAGAAGTAGCCATAAGAGAGCAGTCTCTGAGGAACTACAGCATGACAAAATGAAGGTGTGTGTTTAAGTCTGTGTACCTAATACCACTAAACCATTGAACAGAATACTCCTTAGAGCCTTATTTTCCTGTTGCTTAGTTTACATTTCCCAAGAAAAGTCACCTTTCCATGCAAGCCACTTAAAGAACTCCTCTTACACATTATAAAAAGAAAAGCATTCACTCCAGAATGTGGGCATTTAGAAAATCTTAAACTCTAAATGGAACGCACTTATATTCTGTGGCCTTTCCTTTCTTAGAGAGGGCACTTAGACTATGGTCTCCTTGAAGTACTGAAACCTAGACTTCGGTTTGTATAAAATAAGGAATGTTTGTGGTTCTTAAATTGGGAGTAGGAAAGCTTGGCCTTCCAAATTTAGAGCTAGAAAATAGCTAAGATTGTATATATCAAGGAAGGAAGAGATTTATTGAGAATCTGGCCGTCAAATATTTCCTCTCACACTTTTCTGTCCTCTAATTAGATTTACCTACTCATTTTACATAAAATTCCCAAAATAAAACAATTTCAAACATTTTATGAATCCAAACACCTCTTTGTCATATGAATGAAATGACTGACAAAATAATAAGGGTAAAATTAAGTTTGAAATTCCTATTTTGAGGGTTTTCCAGTATTTTAAGTGGCAACATTTTTGCTTGGTAACATGAATGGTCTTAATGACAATCATTAATAGAAGGTAAATAAAATTTAGAAGTTGCTTTTATTTCCCTAGAAATTTATGGGCTAAAATGATGTATAAACTACTTTGAAATCACTATGTATTATTACTGGAATTCACTGATACTAAATGAAGGGTTGAGACATTCATTCAGCTTCAAACAGTACTATAATAATGTATTTCAGTTAATAGTTTTATCTAATATGCATTAAACAATGGGTTTATGCATGTATTTTAAGCTCTTTTCCCTGGGATTTTATTTCAATCAGATGGTTAGAGGGATGACATTGAAGAGTGAGGGTTTGCTTGCCTTTCTCCTCTTTAGCAAAGCTTCTTGCAGTTTTGGCAAAAATACATGTATAGATAACTGCATCATTGTTTTGGCAGAGAAGGCTGGAGAGAGGCTGATGAATGATTTCTGAAGTGATGCCCTTTATGACCTAAGTGAGAGGGTGAAGACAGGGTAAGAAAGGACACTTGATTCTTAGAGAGTATTAGAATGGAAATACTGTTTCTTCTCCCAGGGTAGAGAAATGGGGCCCCAAATAGCTCAACTTCTGTGAGAGGAGGCAGGTGAAGTCCCTAAGAATAACTCACTTAAAAGGATTATTATCCTGTAAGAATAAAAACACACTTTTTCTTTTTCTTTCTCTCCCTTTTTAGGTCCTGGTTCATTCTCCTCTAATCGTATTTCCAAAGCACTAGACCAACAAAGGCTTAGTTGTCAAGATATACACACATACACACATACATGCATATGTGGCATTCATGGGGAAAGGAAAACACCCAGAAGAGAAGAGGATGCCACCAAAGCACAAGGTGGAGACTTTTCCTAAGCATATTCATCTCCATCACGGAGGTCTCTTGAAGGGGCTGTGAGGGTTGGGAAAAGCAGAGAATGGAACTCCATGGAGGCATTTCCTAGCCTCCCCGTGGGGAGTAAGGAACTTTCCAAGGGAAAAGTGAGAGGCAAGAAGACTTACTGAGCTGGATAAGGGTTTACAGGGGTTGGAGGGGCACTTTGTGTTGTATAAGTACACATGGCAAACTCAGTTTGGATCTTTGCTCACCTAGGTATTACAGTGGTTCATTAGGTGATTATGAGTGTTTCCCAGGCTGGTCCTAAGACAGCCAGAGACTCGATGAATGGATAATGTGCAGCCTGTGAGAAGGGACTCCAGGCTCCCAAGTGCAGAGGTCATTACTCTGGACACACCTTTTTCTCTCCTTGGCTTTTCTTCTTTCTTAATAAATAGTAGCTGTTTTAATGCCACTGCTGATACTATGGCTATTGTCATTATGATTATAACCTACTTCTCTCGAGCTTAAAACCTTCTCTCTGAGGGATCTCAAGTTCCACTTGCACTTCTGTTAGAATTCAGCTGTGAGCTGGATCATCTTTGAGAGCTTTGTGTGATTCATTTACTTTCCTGGAACTGAGTTGTAGTCCACTGGCGTAAGGGCTTCTAAGTATGGATTAGCAAACTGAGGTGATACTGAAGACAACTACCACAGATCTGAAATCAGTGACTCATGCTTGACTATATATGAGTGTGACCTGTGAACCAGATCCAATACTCAGCATCCTGACCCCCTGGATTCTCCCAGCTTTCATACTCTTCCCCAGATGAGTATCTAGAGAGCTGCAAGGAATATCCCAGTTTCCTGTCAAATCCACAGGTTTTAAAGTCCTTCCTAGACACCACAGCCACTGAACAGATCTCAGTGGGACAAATAGGATGTGAGGGAAAAAATGTAGGCAGGGCCCTAGTCAGCCACCCTGAATCTCCTCACCACTCCAGCCAGGCTCTCCAGAGAGACTAGGGACCAAGGGGTGTTCAGCAGTCTCAAAAGGGAGGGAACAGATTTGAGAAGACTGACTAGACCTTAGGAATGTCACTGACTTGAGAGGCTCTGCATCAAATTCCTTTACACAGCCAGAAGGGACATTATCCCAACTCTCAGTACCGGAGTTCCACCTCTTTTCCTCTATTTTAGGCTGTGTATAATTCCTTAAAAAGAGAGGCACTAAGTGGAACACAGTGGTTTCATGGTGGGTAGATTGGATTTCCTTGTATCTGATTCCATCTAGCCCTCTGATGTATACACTTAGATTCTAAATTGGGCTGCTGGGGAATGAACAGCATAAAGCATCCCTCTCCTGGGAGAGGGTCTAGGCAGAATGCACACATGCCCAGGACATTCTAGCTTGGAATTTGTCCATGGAATACTTTCCTAAGCCTAAGAAGAGAGACAGACATCTGATTTTCTCTAAGAAAAAGAGAGGGGAAAAAATAAAAGAAATGAAAAGGATTTGGGGAGCAGATTTCAATTTAGTAATCACAATAGTGACGACTCACATTGCTTTATTAGAGCCTTAAAAATATAATTTCTTCCCAAACTATGGTGACTTATCCAAACTGCTCCCCTAGACATGCTGTAAATCAGACTATTTGAGTGAAAACCATCCTTCATGATTTAAATTAAAATAAACTGGTCAGATTTAACCCAGGGGTATTAATCTAGTGTCAAAGAGGGAATGTCTCCTTAAGCGTATGGGAAGCTTATAGCTTTTAAGAGATTTTCATGACCACCTAAAGACTACTAATGTTAAGTCTTCAATTCTAGTACTTGGAAAAATGGTCTCCCAGAGAATTTAAAGGTCACTTGTTACAAACAATAGTAATAGCATGACCACTAAAAATGATACTGTATTTACATTACAAAGTGGCAGAAATAATAGGCAGGGGGGTTGAAACTTATATTTGTTCTCCTAAATTTGCTTACTGAAAAGCCAATTTCCAAACTGATTTAATAGTCTTCTAGTAATCTAAAAGTAACCAAGGTATAATTTATAATCTCTAAGGTTTAAGGAAAGCCCATATTTAAAAATAATTAATATCCAGATTTCTCAAATGATTCACAAATTCCTAAGAAGAATAAACACATGAATATAAAGACCCGGATGTTGTGGTTTCCTGAAGGCCCAGAATTCAGTGTAGGTCTGAACAACTTGTACCTAATCAGACATGGTGTTGTGTGTGTGTGTGTGTGTGTGTGTGTGTGTCTTTAAATAGGTGAGGGGTGAGTGTATTTGAAGGTAGCAATTAAAAAAAAACACCTCTCAAGACTGTCACTTTTCTTGATTGCATGTCCTTAAAGTAGCCAGTTCTCCTTGTTGCATGTTTTCATGTAAGGGTGTTCTGAGAAAATAGTTTGTGTGAAGTCATATAGGAGAGCAGTTGAGCCTGGAGAAGAAAAACTGAAGAGAGTTCTAAAGAATAGATTTTTCTACATATGATTAGTATCTAGTACCTTGTCTATGTGATCAGATACACAATCTCATGACATTATCCACATTCTAGAATCAGTTTACATGAGACTAGGAAGTTAATGGTTCCAGACAAATGGGGATGCTCTGAACTAGTGAAAATATCCTGGGGAAAACTGATGTGCTGAAAATGCAGCAGGTTCCATTTCTTATCTATGGGACTAAATTTACTGCTTTTTCTGCAAAGTCACTCACTGTTGAGTTTGGGCCCAATGTTTGGGCAGCAAAGCATGGCACAGAAGTGCCTGCTAGACGCAGACAATTCCTGATGTACAGATTCTCATGTAAATGTCTCAGTGCAGAGAAGGCCAAATGACAGAGCTGGGGCTTCAGTGTAAGTTAATGAACTCTTTGGGAAAAAGTCAGGGAGGTCTCTATCCCAAGAGTATTATGAAGGGCTGACACTGCTCCCACTACTTTTGGGATGTCACCAGGGAGCATTGATCCCTGACACTGAACAGGTTTGGGAAGAAGTCAAGCCACCTTCAGCAAGGGGTCAGTGTTTTAGAAGCAATGTGTGCAAACTATGAATGTAGGGCAAGAAGAGGCCGCATGGCATGCTTGGTGATCCCCCTGACAGCACTGGACTAAGCAGGGAGAAAGCACACAGTTAAGGGCCCACCACTTTTCCATGTTCTCCAGCCTCCTGTTGCTCCCTGGAATTAATGCCAACTCTTGCCTCCTGCTAGACGATCACTTTCTGTGCTCAGAAAGGCATTCTGAGCGCTGGGCTTGCAGGAATAGCAATGCACCTTTTACCACCACTACCTCACCCAACCCCACCCCACCCCCGCACCCTGTGCACCCCAGCCCAGAGGTCTCTTGACACTTTCCCAGGGAATGGGCCTGTGCTCCCAACTCTTACTAGCTGGGCTGCCGAGGGCTGCTTCCTGGGTCGCGGTGAGGACTTAAGAAACAAGGCTGAGCACGTTTGGAAACCCAGTTGCTAAGCAGATGGTAAGGGATTACTTCCAAGAGGTGGGGTTAGTTTCATTTCAGCCCAGGACACCTGAGAGGTCTCAATGCATTCATTAAGGAACATTCTTTTCAGAAGTCTGGAGAACTAACCTAAGAAGGACCAACTCAGGTCACCCACAACTCCATTAGGGGAACCAGACTGCTGGATTCTGAACAGCAGCTCCTGACACTGGGCAGCTAATTTAACCAGCCTGTGCTTCAGGTCTTCATCTGCAAATCAAGGGTAAGGAGAGGAAACTCTCTTCATAAAGTTATTGTGAGGGCTGAGTTATTTAGTAAGCGAAGGGGACAATGTCAAGCACGTAGTAAATACCTATTTCAGCACTATCGTTACTATCAGTAACATGTCTTTGCTTCCTTTGAAGAAAGCTTGGGAATTTGTATTGTGCTCCCTTTTTCAAAGCCACTCCATAAAGCCAAGGATTTCTCAATGTTTCTGTGTGGCTGGAAGGACATGCTGGAGGATTAAAGTAGGCAGGAGTCTGTTCAGGTGTTTAGGGAATCCTTCTACCACCGAAGGAAGGGCCCAAATGTTGCAAGCAGAAGCCGTAATCGCTCCTTTCTTCATGGCAGAGCGAGCAGTGTTCTGCCGGGAGGCTGGGAGATCCGATTTCTATTCCTCATCCTCATGCGAGCGACCTTTCCTTAGAGCTGCTAGCGGAGCCACATAAGGAACTCGCTGCAGTTAGCAAGGCGAGGGCTGAGGCAGGGCGACACCGTTGGACGAAGTCTATGACCGCGCTGCTGGTTAACTGCGGCGGCTAGAATGCCGAGGCCTGGGTGGCCAGAGAAATTTTGGGGACCCGACGGTCAGCCTTGAGATGGGCTCAGGGCCTCCCACTGCGGGCAGCGCAGCGGCTCTGCAGAAGGGCTCAGAAGCCGGCGGGCCTGCGGTGAGATGGGCGGTGCCGGGCCTTCCCCACACACCCAAGTAGGGAGCGTGGCGGGACCAGGACCTACCGGCGCGGGCCTCGCCTGGCCTTCCACACGCGGGCCTCGAACGGGACGCGTTCCCTCCCGCTGCCGCCTTCAGGCCCCGCCCCCGACGCCCGCGCGCGGGCTGCGCGCGGAGCATTGTGGGCAGCACGGCCGACGGAGCCCCCGGGTACCAGCCCGGGATACGGGGCAGAGCTTCCTCTCTCTAGCCGACACCGCCTGCGCGCAGCCGCAGCCCCGTGTTACATTCGCCCCACGCCTAGTCTCCAGCTCTTCGAAACCTCCCGCGCGGACAGGGGAACTCGTAATAGAGGTCAGCTGTGGGTTTCTTCTTGCTCTTCTAAGATATGAGAGGCGGTGGTTAAGGGCAAAATTTGGAATCCTAAACACATGTCTGAGTACAGGTCTGCAGTCTGTGTGTCTTTGAGCAATCCCTCAATCTCTCTGAACTTTAGTTTCCTCATTTAGAAAATAACAAAAACATTTGTATCATGGGGTGGCTATGAATATTGCAGGGGCAAGCGTGGGTTTAGCTCCCAGCTGGACCACTTGTTTGGGTTAGTTAGCTCCTCTATGTTTCTGTTTGCTGTGAAGGATGCGGAATCTGTGATCTAGGGATAATAATACTTTACTCAAAGGGTCATAATAATTAAATGTGATAAGCCTGGCAGAGCATTCAGCGTGGCATATAGTAAGAGCCCAGTTAATTATTTAAAGCATCTCAACGCTTGCCACTTTGAAATGCTTGGTAAAAAACCATTTTTAATCTTAGCTCTCCTGCTTCACTTTTTCTCCAGAGAGAAACAAAGTGCAAAGATGCATGTCCATATGTAGGGTGGTAGTGCATGCAGAACTGAGAAGAATTAGCTTGTAGCAGAAGGTTAGATGACAGTTCTGGAAGCTGCATGCCTTTCCTCTTCAGTTTCTAGGGATAAGGTAAAAGAATAGGAAAGGCAAAGAAAAGGAGCTTAGAACATGGAAGATGCTCAATAAATGTTTCTTGAGTTGAAAACACCCTTTCGAATGTTAGGGAGACAAGGAGTCTAACTGAAGTGGGATGGGAGACCCAGGATTGGTATTGGTTTCCATCTGTCCTTGCCTGGCTGCCAGTAGGAGTGGTGGGTGCACTTCTGTGTGACTTTATATTCAGGATCCCAGGAGGGGAAGATCTCAGAGGCAGGGCTAGAAGATAAGGTAGTGTTGCTCTAGGGGAACAGGTTTTGGAGACAGGAGGAGCAAGGGGGTACACCTACTTGCATACGGAGAAGGGATACATCCCTGCAACAGACAGAACATACCTGACTCAAGGAAAGTAAAACTCAGTTGAAGGGAAGAAAAGAAAAAAGATATTGGGGTGAATTATTTTGGAACAAATTAGGCCTCTAGTGGAGGGTTGAATCTGTATATTTTGCAAAGTTTTGCAAATTCAGTTTGGAGTTCAAAAATTTACATTCACAGACTCCCCCATAATCATCCTTACAGCGCATACCCTGTCAGAGTAGGGGAAGCTACCTACACCGCCATATGCCTCATCACTGACCCACTCCTTCAGTACCAGGGTCCGCCTCTGATTTTTCAGATGGGAGCACTTACATCCTTTTTTGTTCTCTATAGATAATAGGATAATGGAGGATGATGTTTTACCGGAAAAACACAGCCCCAAACAGCGTTCAAGAGCATAACCTGCTTTTTTCCTGAGGGCGTAGAATTCTGATACAGCCACAACCTCAGGTGTTTCATAAACTCATGGCTCTCACTACGCTCTCCTCTCAAACCCTGACTAAAAGAGTGCTGTTAGCAGAAAGGAGAATAAAATAAAATAAAACCATTTCCTCAGTGTTTTGACCCTGAGGGCAAAGGAGACAACTGGTGAGAAGGAGCTGCAACTTGGAAAAGATTTATTTTTCCTGGCCATAAATCTCATCCCTTGTTCCTTTGCCCAACGAAGCATGATAAAGTCCTTTTCCATAAAGTATTCAGTATTAGAGCCACAAAGCTCCCCCAATCAGTAGCCATCTGCTTCTACCATAACTGCTGCTCCCGAAGCAGGGAAAGCAGCAGCAGAGAAAGGGCAGCACTGTTAGGCTGCTGGACAAATGAGGAGACTGAATAGCTTTGGTTTTCCTTGTGTATCTGTATCTATAGAGACAGGAGAAGAAAGGCCGCATTATATTGATACAACAATTGTAAAACAAAACACGGAAGAGGCATCTAAAGGGCAATATCGCATGCATCAGGGGTCCCCAGATAAAAGAGGAGCTAACAGATTTATAGAAACCTTTAATTGGTTTTCAATTGAAAGCTAAAGAGGCTGGGGAGAAGCTGTGAAGAGTGGCAAAGTGCACTCCTTCAGCCGTCTGGAAGGCGTGATCGATTTCATAGACGGAGAAAAGAATACGCAACCCGCCGGCGCCTCAGCAAGGGCACCGAGCGACTCTGACTCCGTGTTACTAGCCTTCCTTTTCGGCCAGGGAGTTACGGATACCATAATAAGAGAATCTCGCAAGCTCGCTCTCTCACTCTCCCTCCCCGCCTCCCTTCCTTTTTCCCTTCCTCCATTCGTCCTCCAGACTAGTTAGTGGGCAGATGGAGAGGCAAGGAAAGGATGCAAAAATGAATCTAGCTTAACTCTCCGCGGAAGACATAGACCGCAGCCTAAAAACATCGAGCTTTAAACCTGTTTATCCGCTGGTAGGGAGGCCTATATGAGAGAAAGAGGAGTCCCGCCCTTACCCTTCTCCTATCCTCTCCCTCCTTTTCTAAAATCACAGACGACTGTCCACTAAGTACAGTGAGAAGTCTTTGTGCCCGCCACTGGATTCATTTCGGAGCAGGTCTCTCCAGTCCGCACTCACCGCGTGCCTTCTCTTAACCCTTTGCTGCGCGGCCAGCGCAGCCCACCGGCCCTGGTTGGCAGTGCCCACCCACAAAGCAGCCCAGTACGTCTGTCCCTTCCTGAGGCTAATTTATTGGCCCGACCCTCCATTATCTTTTTTTGATTTTCTAATTAATCAAAGATAAAAGGCAATGGGGCAAGTTACGATTATGAGGGAATTGAAAGACGGTTTTGAATAAAATAGGAGAAAGGAAATGTAATTAATTGAACAGGAGAGTGAAATCTCAAGTGAGAGGAACAGGCCTCGGGGGGGTCAAACCCTTGACCCTCCGTGTTGCTAGTGGGCCTAGAGCCATCGTAAAGGGACAATTCCCCGAATTAGGTCACTGGGTCCTTAGGTTTAGGAGAAGAGAGAACTGGTTTCCTCTCCGGCTCCCAACTTTACTAGGCACCTGCCGCCCAGCTTCCTCTCCTCTCCTCCCCCACCTCTGCCTAGCAACGCACACTCTGCCGCAGACCCTTAGGAGTTTCGGGACTCCTGCCCAGGGATCCCACTCCACATCAGGAAGGCTTTTTGATTGAAGTGCACCCGCATTAGTGCGCTGAGGAGCCGCAAGTCTCTCAAAGTTTTCCTGTCTTTGACCTTTCTTCTAGGGAGGCTAACTTGTGAAACTGCAGGAAAATAAGTCTTGTAGGTCAAAGATTGCATTAGTTCGTGTACGGGATTAAGAGAGCTCCTGTCTGATGCTGCTTTCCAGAATTACATTTGGGATTAAAAGGCAGGCACAGCACGGGCACACATTTTCTATTCACTGGTGGTTGTGATTAATGTTTCCGAGGGGATTTGTGCTGGGAGCTTACGGAACGTGCTCTCGGGGGACGGATGCCCGACGGTCGCGGCGGAGGAACGAGCAGAGGCTCTGTGGGCACGCGCCAGAGCCCTGGGGATTAGAGCGGACGCCAGAAGCGCGCGGGATGCCAGGCGCCTGGGCTCTTTAGCGCCTCTCCGCCACCCTTGGCCCAACACAGCTGCTGCGGGGGAAAGCAGTGACGATCGTCCGGGGAGGCGGACTTCAGGATTTTTGGGATCTGTGTACGAGGAAGATGCCCTTGAGCGTCTTGACTTTTGGGTGGGAGAAGGGGCTCAGTAGCTCACTGAACGTCAGACCCCCGTCCAGTAAGGGCGAGCTCAGCGTTCAGGGGAGGCGCTCCCAAACGCATCGCTCATTCCCAAACCAAAGAGTCGCCCGGCCTCTGCCTTGATGAGAATAACCTCAATATCCGCGAGCCGCCATTCTTAGGGCTGCTTTCGCAGGCACCCGGGGAGGCGCCTATGGAGAGGAACCAGAGCCTAGGCACAAAATACATCCTCCCTCCCTCTCACAGCCACACAGTGGGCAAACCCTTCCCCAGCGGGGTGAAGGGGCGAGGCGAGAAGAGGAAAGTTCCAGGATGCAAGGGGGGTGGAGGAGGGAAGCAAATAGGAAGTGAGAGAGAAGATGGTAGGGAGAAAAGAAAATGGGGAAGCGGGAGCTTGCAGCTGGTAGGCATTACAGCTCTTCAGCAGAAGGGTCACCTTTCGGGCGTATATACCGCCTTCCACCGGGCTGGGGCGGGACGCCCAGGCAAAGCCCGCCCCCCTGGCAGGTCTGCGGGGCGCTGGGCGCCCCCTCCTGGTGGCTGCTTGGCCGCGCCCCGCGGTCCTGCGGGTGCTCAGGCCCAGCGACGGCTCCACCCGCGGCGCTGACGCGGGGAGAAAAGGGGACGGAGCGCGGGTGTAAGGGTGGTGCGGGAGCGGTCAGGAGCCCCCCAGCCCTCCCAGTGCCCTCCCTGGAGGCTTCCTTACCTGCGGCCTGCAGGACCCTTTCGCCGAGGCCTCAGCTCCCGTGTGCCCATCGGCGGCTGGGCTCCCGTCCCAATTGCAGACTGCGGAGGAGCCCGCCCTCCTCGGAAAGCGGTCTGGATCTCTGCCGCGGCAGCTGGGAGGGAGGGAGCAACTGCCCGCTGCTGCCGGGCCGCGTCTGGGGTCCGCGAACCGAGAGCGAGGAGCCGCCATCTGGAGCTTCGGCAGCGGGCGGGGTGCTGATGCAAGGGAAGGGCCGTGGCAGCTCAGGACAAGGCGGGGGAAGGGTAGAGGTCTGCGCGTGGGAGCGGCTGGAGGGTGTGTGGCGAGAGTGTGTGCGCGGCTGGTATGGCCTCTGGGGAAGAGGAGCAGAGGCCTGCCCCTCTCAAGTCCCCTGAATGCCGGGGCAGTGAGAGCAGGGGACCAGCTCGGGAGTCTCTCCTGCTCCCCGCCAGCCACTACCTGGGGAAGGGGGCCCGAGAGCCTGGTGGGGGGAACCAAAACACTCCTGCACGCGCGCACACCGGCTGTCCATCAGAAGTGGTTTTCTCGTTTCCCTTTCCTCCCACCTCGTCCATCCCACTCCAGGAAACATTCCTTTCCAAACAGCATGGATGTTTGGATACCTCCACACTAAGACAGCTGCTCAAGCCAGAACACGGCGTTGACAAGATATCACCCTTGGGGATAGATACTCTCTGGTTTCTGGTGGACAGCAGGAAAGAAAGGAGTGGGGTGAGGGAAGCTCAGCCTTGCACGTTTAGCATAGGGAAAGAGAAGGGGTTAGGAAGTGCAGTATCTCTCTCCTACCCTCCTTTCATTTCAAATGCTGGCAAGGTTTTGTTTTCAACTCTGGAAAATGATTCCCCTTTCCTGAGCTTGGATAGGGGGCAGGTAGCAAACTCAGGATAGGGAGAAGATCATGAGTCTGGGAGAGAGACAAGGCGGTGGTCAGGGAACTCAGACTCTCCAGTCTCCCTGCTCTCTCTGAGGGAGATGCCCTCAGCCAAAGGTTTTACCCAATGTAGGGGGAGCTGATTGGATGTTTAGGTGGTGGCGGGAGGTCTGAATGAACAAAACAAAACAAAAAACATTCCTACCCTGAGGCATTAAAAGGCAACTCCCCCCAGCTGTCTCAGGTCCGGCAGAATGGCATTATGTAAAAGATCTGGCATGTCACCCAGTGGCACATCTGGTAGGTGTAGATGGCATTCATTAGCACAGGGCTTCTCCTCTGCCGCATGCCAAAGCCCTGACAGAGATACTCGCTGCCAATCATTCTCTGCCAATCCCAGAGCTCGGCCGGGCGGCATGGCTCCTTTCCACTCTGGCACCAGCACTGTAGGAAACAATGTGTTGAGATAGGAAGAGATGAAAGCAGAGCTGAGGATGTGAAGCACCCAACAGATGTATCCCATGAGGAGATAACGATGCGAAGAGTCATTTAGAGAGAAAGCATATGCAGGATCTCAGGAGGGAGGCTTGGGCAGGGATCTGCCTGCCTAGGGCTGAACTGAGGGAGGGGTAGGGGGAACCCTTCAGAAACCTCAAGTTGAAGTTGTTTCTTTAAAAAGACCACTCCCTAACCCTAACTATGAAAGCCCTCTCTCTTTTCCTTCTCCCTCTTTTTCTCTCTCTACTTTCACCCCCTATGTATGCATTTGTTTATTTCGCTAGCTCTGAAAAGGTGACCTCCTCTTTGCATTCCTCAAGGCTTTCTGATTACCGATATAAAGAGTATCTTCCTGTTTTTAATGTTACATCATTCTCTTTGCCTTGTAATTTTGAGGAGGGAGGGGAGCTGTCAGTTATCTTTACTATATTTTAAAAGGTAAAGTGTGTTAGGACTAAGGTTTTGCATATAGTAATAACATGGATTAAAAAACAGAGAGAGAAGTCTTATTTCAATCCCCAGCTTTTTAACAGGGATAAACATGAAGAAGGAAAGCCAGGGAATTATTAAAATGGCAAAGGATGGATAAACAAAGCCTAGGATAGAGGTTGCTTTTTTTTACGTTGGGTCATGGTTACCTAGGTGGTCAATGTATCGTTTTTCTTTAAGTCATGCATGTAATTTACAAGTATTCGTTTTATCCACTTAATGTTTAATAAAACAACAACAGAACTCAGAGGTTCTAAGGTTTGCAGAAATTCATCTAACAGCTCTTCACTGAATATATACATATATGTATAAAACTAAAATACTCTTTTCAGTATAAGTATATACTGGTGAAATATTTGGGGCATACTTATATTGGCTCATGTTCATAAAATGATATAATTCCAGGCATCACAATATTGTCCAAAGCATGAAGAAGAGGACAGGGCAAAGAAAAGTAGTTTGTTCCATTTATCGGTGAAGAAACTACTTACACTTTCATTAGCCAGACCTGGGTCACCTGGCCATAGATACCTGCAAAGCACTGTGTGAGAAGTAGCTTTTGAAGTACTTATGAGGGCACAGAGGCAGGTAAAGAAGGACAGAGAATAGATCTCAGGGAGTTGAATGGAGAATAGCTGGCACACAATTATTATTATTCATAAATAAGATTCTCCTCAAACCCTCCCTGCAAACATCTTTTTGATGCACAATTCCAACTGGAAGTAAAAACTTAACAGGCCTAGTCAACCTAACCATCCAAGTTTTTAGAATCATCTCTCAGAGCCCTTTGGGCTGAAAGCTTCCTACTAGCACTCATGAGAGATTTCCAGAGTTCTTGGCAAGCTTTGCAAGCTAAGACCTGGAAGACTTTGAGAGTATGGCCTATTAACTTCCTCTGGGCATCCCCAAGTCTCTCATTTTGTGGCTTCCTGTGTTGGGATCAGTCTTGTTAGGCCTGGTTAGTCACTGACTGACTGTTGTTTCCAAGGAAGCAGCCAGGTTTCAGCAAACGGTGACTATCTCATAACAAATCAACCCCACAGCACTAGGAAATCCTACTAATGAGTTCAGAGTTTATGTGGACTTCAACTGAAGTAATTTTTCCTCTTTCCAACTTTGCCACTCCTATTCTTTTCTCCTGAACCTGTACTAGCTCATAGACAAAATAATGAAAGAGGACAGTGGTGAAGAAACATGTTATTCTCCAGATGTTCACTAGATGTTGGCTCAAACAAAAGCTTCATTTCTGAACCTCCCAGACACTGAGAGTTTGAAAATATGAGAGGACCAATATAAAATTAGCAGTCACTATTTTAATGGAGAGAAAAAATTTAACTATAGAAAAATTGAAAATTAGGAGTGAAAAGCAAAAAATGAATGCTTTTGGAAGTACCATATACAATTGAACAATTCATACAATGAAATAGATCAGTTTTGGCACAGGAGCATGGGGAGCTCTGACGACCCATTTTCCAGTGAAACTGGTGAAAATTTATGTGTATGTGTAATCATTTAAAGTCTTTGGAAGTGGTCCTAAAGGCAAATGGCAAATGAAGAAATATCTATCCAAGAAAATCTATAAAAATTTGGCAAGAAAGGTGAGAGTCTGTGGTATTTGAACCAAGACCATTTTCTTCCTTCCCCCTTCCAGCTCAGTAAGGCATAGACTCAACTCCACGACTGCTGCAACCAAGAACACAGAGTTTCCTCTACATCCCCCTGGTTTCAACTGGAGGATTTTCTTTGTAAGAGAAGCAGAATTTCTGCTTTTCTCTTCCTGCCCCTAGCTGCCTATTGCTTAGGCTAAGTCTCAGGTCCTGAGTGTGGTCAGGAGGGAGGAACTTCCTTCTTCTGCTCAACCCTTAATCGTGAATGGAGGTTCTACTTTAGGTGTGGTTCATTGAGAATCCTGGGACCCCAAAAGGCCTTCCCTCAGTCTTTGAGGAAGAGATTCCATATCAGGGAAAGCCAGCTGAGAGGACTGCAGGCTGCTGCTCCCCACCACACCAACCTGCTCATCTAGAGCAGGGGCAGCACTCACAGAGAAGCTTGTCATTGTTCCCAGCCCCAGTTCCAGAACCCTGGTCCAGAAGTTTTGCCTCTGGATTGAGGAGGAGAACCAGGTCATGAAGCAGGTAGCTCCTAGTCTCTTCCTGAAAGAATTGCCTTTATTGGCAACAGAGTAGTGAAGTTTAAACCTCAAGGGCTATTTTCAAGAAGAGTACATTGCAGTAAATGACAACTGGGAGATTTGTGGATCTACTGAAGATATAGCCTAGAATGTAAGCCAACTAGTACATATGAGAGGACTGGGGAATAAGGGCTGGAAGAAACCCTCCTGGGTTTAGTACAAATACCAAACAGTGACCTCAGAAACTATTCCATCCAAGGAGCTACAAAATGATTGGATTAGTTTGTAAAGGAATTCTGCTCCTGGGAGCTATCTTTTAAAAGTTTATTTCCAGACTTATTGAGATATAATTGACAAATGAAATTGTATATATTTTGAAGGGTGCAAGGTAATGATTTGATATATTTACATGTTATGTTATAATTACCACAATCAAGTTAATTAACACATCTATCACCTCATATAGTTACCTTCTTTTGTTGAGAATGCCTAAGATGTACTCTTTCTGCAAATTTCAAGTATACAGTATTATTAACCATAGTCACTATGTTGTGTATATTAAATCCTCAAAACTTATTCATCTTACAATTGAAAGCTTATGTCCTTTGTTCAACATCTCCCGATTTCCTCCAGTCCCCAACCCCTGGCAATCACCATTTTATTCTCTGTCTCTATGAATGGCTTTTTAAATCTTTAGATTCCACATGTGAGTGAGATCATACAGTATTTATCTTTCTCTGATTTATTTCACTTAACATAATGTCATCCTGGCTCATCCATGTCAAACATGGTAGGATTTCTTCCTTTTAATGGCCAAATAATATTCCATTGTTTATGTATATGTGTGTATATATATATATATATATATATATATATATATATGTACAGACACACATATATAACATTTTCTTGATCCATTCATCCATGAACAGACACTTAAGTTGTTTCCATGTCTTGCCTATTATGAGTAATACCACCATGAACATGGGAATGTGGGGATCTCTTTGAAATACTTGTTTTGTTACCTTTGGATATATACCGAGAAGTGGGATTGCTGGATCATATGGTAGTTCTATTTTCAAGTTTTTGAGAAACTACCATTGTGTTTTCTGTAACAGCTTCACCAGTTTACATTGCCACCAGGTGTATAAGGATTCTCTTTTCTTTACAT